TATTATACAGAATAAACACAAATCACTACATATTATCAGTAATCAGTATCAGTACCACTAACATGAAATTACAAAGTGATTTTCACGATATAATTGGCGTATTTCTTAATCCGTTTGACCTTGCATGCTCCCGTGACCCGGAAAAGGGAGAAGATGAATCAACACGCCACATGCAAGTTTCTCGGTATCTTTTATTTGACTTTTTGTTGATATATAAGGATCACCATTCCATGTTACTTTGAATATAAAGTGATACGATTCATGTATCTGCGATGTACATGCTGATGATTTTGTTTTTACTATAATAATTAAGTGTGTGAAGCAATAAGTCCATAGATATCGTCGATCGGCAACGATCACACCCCACAACAGATGCGTGAAAATAGGCGTGACAAAACGTGTTTCAAAATAGCATTCATGCAATGCCGAATATGATAGGATATAAGCAGGTGGGTGATGTATATATCAATAAAATACAATATACATATTTTCAGTGTTAGTTTCTAATTAAATGTGCGATAGTTAAATAATTTTTCCTTTTATAATACATTTATCGATTCTAGCATGATTTTACAACAATTCATGGATTATCTTAAAATTTATTCCATCAATATAGAGACCGCCATGATTGCGTATTGATGATAGATTTGTTTATGTTTAATTATTTACATCTGTTCACAGCTTCTAAAATATTTAGCTATATTTAGTATCTATTTTTTCCACAATGATTATGTGTATGGATACTAAATATTGGTCAGCTGGTCAATGCATCAGCACAGTGTAACTGACCAGACTTTAATTATTATTAATTATTATCTTTAGTTTAAACATATGTTATTCAACAATTGTTATCTTTCACCTGAACATAAATTATGTGAATAAGTATCTATTTGATGTCATTATTTAAGTTTAGTATTCCAATACCAATACAAAAATAAAGAAATAGATAAGATCCTTATGAACCTATACATACACAACTCATATGGACATTAATCTTGTGTATGAAGTTGTTTGTTTCCAAAAAAATAATTCTTAAATATAATTGTAATATGAATACAATACATTATTTTCTTGTAACAGACATGGTGAGTTAGCCATATATTTATAAGAGAACGCACATTGACAATTCTTGCAGTTCTGTTCTGTTGGAGAAATGTACATGGAAATATCCTACCTTACGTATTTTTTCAGGGTTCTCACCAATGAAATAATGTGTAATTAGTGTGGCAGGACTTTCCAGGTTTGTTGCAGTATGCTCTCGTGGGCTTGACAGTGACACTTATGCATGTCCCCTGAAGGAACATGAACAATTGTGAAATGTGATCAACAGGTTTTCGTCTTCAGTCAATGTAATGTACAAAAATTCAAAATAAATGCATATCATCACCAGCTTTGGATCTGACATCCTTGATCATTTTTGTGGGTTTCTGAATATACAGTCAGTATAGGTCCTGATGTTCTTTGTGTCTCAGCCTTCTTGGTGGAATGAAAAGAAATTTCCCTGTATACATGATTACCTTTGTCAGATGTATTTTGTCCTGTCAGCCACCTGACTTTATGTCACCTTATGTGGTTTATTTTCATATACATGTACTGCTGCAAACCTGTTTTTCCCTTGTATATGCACAGTATCAAAACTTCATCAGTTGGTGTGTCACAAGTTCCTCAGTTGGTGTGTATAAAAAGTGCCCTTGCCATCATAAAAAAAGAAATGCCAAAAACAAAAGCATTTGCAATAAAAAAAAAACACATTTGTCCTTCCTTGAATAATCTTAGGTTTAGTGCTTGAAATTTTTAGTGTCATAAATTATTTTTTAAATTTCATAAGGATTTTTCTTTGATGGACCAACGTCAAACCATCTGACAAGTTAGATAGAATTATAACTTTAAAAGCCCTCATTTCTGAGGTGTCCATATATTTCAGATTTTTTTTTCTACTTTTAGGACAAAGCATGAGCCGTCTACCTGAGCTTGGTTACGTAAACAAATACTTGTTTAAAATGTGAAATGGAATTCCACTGATTAAATGGTTTTTTTTATCCCATTGTTCTACGAAATCCATTTGAAATGTGCTTTTTGTACCAAAAATGTCTTGAGAGTTTGTACCCAAACAGGTACGTGCTTTTGTGTCAACATAAGAAACCTTAAAATTATGAAAATAATGACAAGGAGTATAGCTGACAAACACAAGTATTGTCATACATGTAATGGTAATACAGTGAGGGTTCTTATTTTGACATATGCCTTCACAGTGAGGTGAAATACTTCAGAGAGCATTTTAGCATGGCATATTACAGAGAATTCAGTGCTTATCTTCTATTTTTTTTAACAAATGTCCATCCTGTAACATATATCATTTAACACTGGATGAAATAGCTACGCTTTTTACTCTCTTGTTACTGTTGGCCTAATTGTTCATCACAATGTTTCAGTTTTACAAATTGTGAAATACTGAAGAAAATAAACTAAGGACTTTGGACAACTTTGTCTGTTCTTTAACAAAATTGTCCATCCCATAACAGCTACCATGTTTGAAATGCTATGTCAGTTTTTCACATTCAGTTTCATGTTTATTTTAAGAGATGAAGAATAAATGTATGTTTTCTTTTTAGAACAGTAACTGGAAAAGACTGTTTACATTAGTATCTGAGGAGAGGTCATAACTATTTTATCCAAGTGTCCTTACTGTAACACTCTCTGTTCTTCCTGTAACACAGATGTCTTTCCCGTAACACAGCAATATTTTAGCTCAAAATTGACAAACTGACTGAAACAAGCATTCAAAAGGGTGAAGCTTTTAAGGTTATGATTCCACTTTAACATATAACTGATTCAGATGAATGTATTGTTGGCTCATCTGGTAACCATTGAGATTTATGTGTTACACATCCTAACCAATATATGTGAAATGATATGACAAGTTGATTTTTTCACTTATTTAAACTATTCTTATTTCCAATTTTGACCATTGCCTCCATTCTTTTGCATAAATTTGAGGCTAGGAAGATTGGTCTGTAAGAGTTGGCCTCGTTTGAGGGTTTCTTTGGAATTGGTATGACTAGAGCCTCTTTCCATGTTGTAGGAACCTGACCATTTTGGAAGATAAGGTTGTATAGTTTTAGAAGTGATTCCAGAAGGTTTTGGGGTTGTTGCTTAATTATTTGGTATGAAGTTAGATCTTGTCCAGGGGCTGTTCCTTCCTTTCAATTGTTTAAGACATAGAGTAATTCCTCTATTGTATATGGTTGGTAATTTGTGGAATTTATTTTCATTTTTTTTTTTTAACTCCTCACTGAAGTTGCTATTGCTACTAATGGCCGAGAATTGGTTTGCTAGGTTGTTTGCTTTTTGTTTAGGGTTTGTTGAATAATTTATGTTTGGTGTTTTTTTGTATGTTTTATCCCTCAGATTGTGTGTATCATGTGCCATACAGTTCTTGTGTCTGTTTGATGTTTCCTAACAGAATTTTTTCCAGTTTTTTGCCTTTGCCGTTTTTGCCGTTCGGACTAGATTTTGTACTTGGTGATTTAGTTGATGTGCTAGTTTTAGATGCGAACAATCTCGCTAAGCTTTGTTAAATGCCCTTTACTGTTTTTTTTTTCTTTCTTTCTTTTTTTTTATATTTCCTCAGTCCACCAAGGTACAGTGCCGTCCCATTTATATTCGTACGATCCAAAATGGCCGCCGTTTGTTTACATATCGACTCGCTTTTACAGAGCGTCATTTATTAATGAAAAAATTATCTACATACCTTAATACTTGGTAAGATGCCCTTTCATAGTCAGAACTTTAGATAACTGATACTCCCCCACACCATCAAACTCAACTTCCTGGTTCGAGGGGGACACACACACTCGGGTCGATCGGCTTCATTTTCCTCTCTCCAAATGTATACACGTTTATTATTTCCAATAACCACCTGACTCTCATGAGTAAAGATTACATTTTTCCAAAAATCATTGACAGTTTTTTTCCTCATACTCCGACACCTCAAGACACGTTTTCTTCTGTTCACCCCCCTAACAACCATCTTTTTTTCTCGTGATGTGTCTGTAAAATCCTTCTCAGTGTAATTCCCTTTGGATTGTTCTTTTCGACACCGAATTGAAATTACCAGTGATGTCCTTCAAAGGTCTCTGTCTATTATTTTTAACGAGACTGAACAGCGCGGTACGATCTCTGTCAAACAACTTTTTTTGTCTAGCTTGTCTTGGGATGTTTTCTACCGAACCCGTTCGCTGAACTTTAGCAAAATTACTACCCAAAGTAGACTTGGGAACCCCCAACAGGTCAGTAATCGCTTGATAACTTTTCCCCTCTTCTTTTAACTTTAACTCTATTCTTTTCACAATACTACTCAATTCCTTAGATTTTCTCCCCATGTTTGCACTGATTATCGTATGTTTTGATCAAAACAGCAGACGACACTTTGAAGGACATCACATGACGGTCACGTGATCAAAGTGACATGTCAAATTTAACATGGTTCCGAGCATTATTGACGCTACGTGAAACAGTTTTGTGCTCGTAAAATATTCGACAGTTATAAACCGTTATGGATCGTACAAATATAACTGGCACGGCACTGTACCTTGGGTCACCCTATTTTGGGTATTCTGTAAGGGATAGTTTCCTTTGCTATGTTAATTATGCATTCAGTTAAATTTTGGCAGTAATTTTTGGGGTTATTATTTTCTAGGTCCGCTGTCCCAGCATCCCCACAAAGGACTTTATAAAGTAAGTCATTGCAAAGGGGTGTAAAGACACAAATTGTAATAAACCACCAAACAGTGGGCCTGAATAGGTCAACGTTTTGAGTCAAAACAATTAGTACAAACAGCAAATATAAGTTAGTAGGTAATTTAGTTGTGCAGAGAGTCACCTGGTTTTGAGAACTATGAGACTTGCAATGGTAGGTATTGTCAAAGAACAATGAAAGATGAACTGATCAAGGGGTAACTGCTTCTTATTAATGACATTCACAGAATGTCTTTCCTCACCTCTTTTCTCTCAATCTCAGCCTTTGTATCATCGTCCACATTTCTACTGTTATTCAAAGCTGTTGAACAAAGCAAACAATAAATTTCTTAGTATCATGAGGTGGCATGTTCAACAAGATGGTGTGTCACTTCCATTGTAGGAAGTATGACTTCAAAGCTGGGAGTCTCATGTCTGATGAAATTAAGAGAACTATTTATCCACTTTAGGTGATGGGTGTTGCAGGGGTTTGATGGTGTGGGGTGGTGTGACCTTGAAACCAGTAATAAGTAGTCACTTACAGTGAGTGAGTGAGTATGTTTTTACACTGATTTACCAATATTCCAGCAATATCAGACACTGTACCCATGTCCGGAATCGAACCCGGGTCTTAGGTGTGACGAGCGAACACTTTAACCACGAGGCTAACCTAAGCGGCATAAAAGAAATTATTTAAGAAAACAAAGACAAAAACCTTTGTGGTAGATCCAAAAGGTTGACCATAATATCATGACAATGACCAGAAAAATGAAAGTTCCAAGCTGTAAGTGTATGTCTTCGCATATAGGACTTTAAACCAGAGTCCAGTCACAAGTCATGTTTCACATAAAATTGTATATTCTTCCTGTCAAATAATTCACAGTACCAAGATAAAGAGCTCTTCATGCTTAAGTTGGCAGCTACAGATAAGATATGCCCTTGTTACCTACCAAGTCACCAGCTTAGCTAGCAACTAGATGCCCTTATATATATCTTCAAATACATTTATGTTTAACAGGCATATTACACCTATCATTCTACAACTGCCCATTACACACAAAAGTTCAGGTTTCCAAACTTTACACCATTTTATTAATGAATCTGATACAGAATTTCCTAGTTATCTAAAATAGAATAGGAAGTACTTGCAAAATCAGAGGCTGCCCCTCAACAGCCATTTCCAGAAGACCCCAGAAATTACATTCCCCAATGCATTTCAGTCTGATACCACTACCTTTGGTTTGGTGATGTACATGCTTATTAAAGTCAGGTTAAGTTAACATGCCTCTAAGCTACCCAAATGGGGAACAAAAATGCATTTCTCAGACAATACCTCAGACCTCATCATATTCCTTTTGCAAGTACAGTCAAGTCTCGTTAGTCCGACAATCGGCTTTATCCGACACTAATGATGGGAACCGATTAAATCAGTGCTATTTAGAACTGTTAATCCGACAGTCTCGCAATTCGACTCCTACACACCTCATTTGCAATGAATTACCGAAATTACTCATTCTTCAGTCTCGTTGATCTGACACTGTGATCAACGTACTACGTGACCCTCTGCCCGCAAGTACACAGCCCGTGTTTTGATTCGAGACGAGTCGGTTGATAGCTGCATTTTACAACGGCTGCAGAGATAAACTTGCTTAACAATAAACAAGTAATGCTTTAAATAAAGACAACAGGATTAATCACATGCTTGGACTACCTTAATCTCATTAAAATCAGATACAAGTTCTCGCTATCACCGAGGACATCCCATTACAGGTCATGTCAGAACAACCTTTCGGGAACTATGAACAACCAATGAAATAACTAACAGGAAGTCAACGCTAGCTAATTAGAAAGCATTTTTCGCTTTGCGGTACTAGTTTCGAACTGGCAACTTCCGTTCCAGACTATGCTTCTAAAAGTATTTTGGTTGGTTGGTTGGTTGGTTGGTTGGTTTGTTGTTGTTTGACGCCGCACTCAGCAATATTCCAGCTATATGACGGCGGTCTGTAAATAATGGAGTCTGGACCAGACAACCCAGTGATTGATATCATGAGCATCGATCCACGCAATTGGGATCGATGACATGCATCAACCAAGTCAGCGAGCCAGACCACCCGATCCCTTTAGCTGCCTTTTACGACAAGCATAGTCACCTTTTACGGCAAGCATGGGTTGCTGAAGACCTATTCTACCCCGGGAATCTTCACGGGTCTTAAGTATTTTGAATAAGTCATACAGTCCAAAACAGTTGTTTTGTGTTGAGTGAGTGAGTGAGTGAGTGAGTGAGTGAGTGAGTGAGTGAGTGAGTGAGTGAGTGAGTGAGTGAGTGAGTGAGTGAGTGAGTGAGTGAGTGAATTAGGTTTAACGCTGCTTTTAACAGTATTCCAGTTATATCACGGCGTGTCAGCTTAATGTGGGAGGAAAGCCCGAAGTGATGCAGGTCTCAGACGTTTACCACTTCGGTGAAACCCACGAGCACAGGTATGGTGCTGACAAACCTAGAAACATAATCAGGGCGAACCGGGATTCGAACCCACAGTCATAGGTTTCTGGCGTGCCCAAGGGACACAACTCTGCACAGCGAATCGCGGCGCCTTAGACGACTGGGCCAGCCGTGCCCCCATTGAACTTTAGAGGCTGCATGATTAGAAAACATATTCCGCTAACAATGTAACATAACATGAATGTTTTACCGTATTTGACGTAATAAGCGCCCAGGGCGCTCTCAAAATTAGAAATAGGGGGGGCTCTTATTAGAATATAATTTTGGTGAGATTAAAAACGAGGTTGAAAGATTGTAAATTTTACGGTTTATGCTGACAGCCTGAAATGATATGAAAGAAGAATCTGTGTGTATTATACACGACAGATATATTTTCGAGAATTAAATTGCCCATAATTAACGGTGCATATAACAAACGAGTGCGGATTATACACGAATAAATATATCTTGTGTGCATTGATCAATCGGAAAGGGTGCTAACTGGGATTGTTCACTAGCCATTACATTAGCAAATAATGCTGAGGGCACTTATTAGAGCGGGGCACTTATTACGTGTTTGTATTGTTATCTATTGTGTAGTTGTCCAATTTTCGATCACGAACGTTGATACTACTTAATTTTGTTTATCCGACATACTCGTTAATCTGACATAATCATATGCAACCAACAATGACGGATTAATGGGACTTGACTGTATGTTATATGAACATCTGTTATAATGACTTAACTTCTAAAAAGAATGGTGTTTGCAAGTACTTGCCAAAACAGAAGCTGCCCCAGAAATCATTACACATCATGCTCACATGTAGCTAGTTTAATAAGAAAGTGCATACAATTACAAGTGCACAACTTAAAAATAATATCTACAGAAAACAATTTTATTACATATGACCTTCACTCTGAAACTAAGGTTGACATGTACCAAGTTCCATTATACTACAGTGAATACTTCTTGACTTGGCTGTGACAACTTTTCAACATTAAAATGACAAAGATACTTTGTGAATGACCTCTGCAGTGGCCTTGATCTAATACACTAGTTTGGAATAAAGTGTCATATGCAGTTTGTAGAACCTTACAAACTGTTCAATACATAAAAACTAACCAGTAATATACCAGAGCCCCTATTTTTATTTAACATGTTTTATAAAAGTTGGAACTATAAAAACAAGATGATGGAATATGTATTTTATTTATGCACTGTTACTGTGTTGACTTGTGTCTTGTAAAACAAAGCAGTCACCTGTACACACATTTTGTCCTGTATTCAAAATAAAATAAACTTCAAACTATTATCGTGCTATTATCGTGCAATTCTAATTCCATTATAATTCTACTTGAATGTGTTTTTACTCATAAAAGCAGACGTCTCCTCTCTTTTATTTTGATACATTAATTCAAGTTGTTGCTACACCAATGGGTTGCAAATATGAAAAAAAAATAATACAAGTACAGATTCTGATAATGCCTTAAGGAAGCAGCATTACAGTTGATGCCATGTTGACTCTTTATGGCAGAGAGACTATTGAACTTGTAACTTGTATTTGTGCAAGTAGATGTACCAATAAGGAATAATCAGTAGCTTTATGTCTAGTAGAAAGACACTTTAAGAATTTCCAAATTGTTTCCACAGAAACAAAAGAAATTAAAAAAAAGTAAAAAAATTGAAAAATATGAGTGAGTTAGGTTTCACACCGCTTTTAGGATTATTCCAGTTATATCACGGCCTGCCAGCTTAATGTGGGAGGAAAGCACAAAATGATGCAGGTCTCAGACGTTTACCACTTCGGTGAAACCCACAAGCACAGGTATGAGGATGACAAACCTAGAATTGGGGCGAACCGGGATTCGAACCCACAATCATAGGTTTCTGGCGTGCATAAGGGACGCAACTCTGCACAGCGAATCACGGCGTTTAGAGGATATGAAGATATGAACCCACATATGAAAAGACAATAGAGGAGCATATATGGTCATTGCACATGTATAGTTATTTGAAATTGTTTCCATGGAAATATTATGTTTCTGTGTCATGTTCAAAACCTTCCAAATAGTGTGCTGGTTTTCGTGGGGAATTATTCGGCAAAGAGCCAGAGTCATAAGAGACTACTGGTAATTACAAGTTTATTTACACGAACAATGAACAATATGTAGCTGAGGGTGCCACAGAGAGAGTCGGTACAACCCTCTTGGCCGTGGGCGAGATGTCTGCTTGGTTTGAGCATCAAACACCTACTAGCTAACAACTTACTTACTATTGGAGATTAACATGCATTTTCTGACATTATGAATATTTCGCACACAGGCCTGCCATGCCATTTAGTGAGATTGCCAAGGAGTGTGTGTCCAAAGGCGGGCGGCAGCGTTGGGGCGCTTATTTGGAGAAGTTTGGAATTTGGAAACTTGGAGTTCTAGGGTGGGGGGACTAAGGGAGGGTGCGGATGTGTGGTTTGGGGATTTGTGTCTTGTAAGTATTAATTAGTGTTAAGTAGTTCAGTTTTAAAAAGGAATATGCCTAATGCTTTGAAGGTTTGTGTATCGTTTAGCGGATTTAGAAATGTTGCTACTGTTAGTTGAGTGTTGCAGTCTAGTTTGGAGTGTTGTTCTGTGGTGTTTGTTTGTTTGTTTGTTGTTCTACCCCGGAATCTTCACGGGTCTGTGTTGTTTGTAGTGCGTGCAGTGTAGTAGTATGTGTTCTGTTGTTTCTAGTTGGTTGCAGTGTGGGCATTTACCTGTTTTGTGTATCTTTATTTTATGTAGATATGAGTTTAGTTTTGTGTCACCTGTTTGTACTACCGTGTATTAGCCTTTGAATATTTTTCTGAATTATGATGAGTCTTTACTTTTTTGAGTGGCTTTTGGAGCATATGTTTTAGTTTGCAGTTTGAGTTTTGGTATTTATTTGGCCACTTTTGGACAAAAATTCCCCTTAGTTATGCTCTTTATTCCGTTTTTTTGGACATTAGTAAGTTAAGGCTTACTCCTGGTAGTTTTGGGGCTGCAAAAGTTGGCTGGAGCTTTTAAGTATTTGGTGTGTATTTAAGTTCAGTGTGATTTTTTTGTGTTTATGCTTTTAATAGCTTGTAGTCCACTTAACGAGTCAGTTAAAATGAGAGTTTGGTTTTTTTAAATTTGGGGCTTGCTTCTGTGTGTATTTAACAAAATTTAGAACAATAAAAGGAATATGATTGGTTGTTGATACACAATGGGGTGTGCCGTATGGTTTAATGAATGGCCAGACAGAGGGGAATACATAATCCTGTTGACTGGCACTAATCTTGTTGACATATTTACTGGGTGCTCGGAAATACAGTATATCACAGTAGACAAGCTTGTATGGGGGCTAAACCTTAATGAGTCTAAATTGAAGTATTTGCTCAATGATATTCTAACATAGGTGATGACAGATTTTCTTAAATAAAATAGTTCAAGGCAATCCATGAAACTGTGCAGAGATAACTTTTGTCTTATTGAATAGTATGTCTGGGTGATGGGTTCTTGTTGTCTTAGGCTAGTATTATCTAAAAAATAACATAATAAAATATATCATCATTCTGACATGAAGGTATGATAATTGGGATTTATTCCATATGTTCTTCTATTCATACAACATACATTTGTTTGGTAACATTTCATACAAAGAAATATACAAATAGAAAAGAAATTACTCTCATCATAATCAATATTTTAGGTGCTAAAGTTTTCTTTGCATGTTAGCCATCATTTAAATAGGTCAGAGCATTCATGCCTTGAGGTCTAATCATTGAAACGGTTAGAGTTAACACCACAGTCATGAGCATCCTAAACCAATACATTAAACTAGGGCAGACTAGGACACAAGCAGCCACACTCACACATATGCATGCATGGTGCTACATTTGTGCATTAATCTTAAATATGATGTTAAAACCTATTCCACCACACCACACCACACCACACCAAACATTAAATCTCTTGGTGGATCATGGCATGGCTTTTAATCAAAATGTGGTAGCAGCAGTCAAACTGTAACAAAACCTTAAAGCATCCAAATTTACATGGATCTGTGTATGCTGATTGCCACACAAAAAAATCCCTAAAAAATATATTGAAGTCAATTCCTAAAAATTTATATGTCAACAACAATTACTTCACAGATTGCTTAAACAAGAAAGTAGTGAGCAAAGCTCACATACTTCTGTTATCCCCGCTGGTCAACAACAAACAACAAATAGTAAATAGTAAATTCCAACTAACACAAAGCACAGATACTTATGATGATCTACATGTGTGGAAATAATTTTGGAAACTATATTAGCTATACATCAAAATTTCAAAACATCAAAATCATGTTTCCATGAAAACAGGAAAACTGAAAACTTTCAGAATCTTATAAAAGATAAAAAACAATCATAGTGGTCATTGTAGCAAGTTTGCTGAAGTTAGGATACATAATATTGTAAACATGGATCGTACAAAAACTCTACCCAAAATTTATGTTTCACCGTGATTCCATGGAAACGGCAAAAATTAAAAAGTTCAGAATCTACAAACTAGCAAAAGGCACAAGTACTCATTGTGGTTAATGTGTGTAGCAAGTGTGGTGAAGCTAGGGTGCATGGTTAAAAAGTTATGGGCCGTACAAAAGCTTGGACAGACGGACGGAACGCTATATACCCCCGATTTACTTCGTAAACGGGGGTATAATAATCATAAGCCAAAAAAACTGTAGGCAACAATATGAAATCCACTATTGTGCAGGGCCTAATTATTTTTAGGTTCAAGGAAACAAGCAAAAACCAAACTGCTTGGTTAACTAATGAAATATCATGAAATCACTTGCAAATTATTTATTTAGAATTTTGGTTTAGAAAAATCAGTTCTGTACAGGCTTCCTAGCAATGGATGTTAATCAAACAACAAGCAGAACGTCAAATGTCATCATGGATGCAGTCTGCATTGCAGTTTCCCCAGGGGGATGATGACTTCCCAACTGATCTTGACAGTTTTGCTACAGGCACTGAAAGATGAGCTAGGACTTACCTTACACTGTCCAACAGCAGTATGGCAAGTACACACTTTACAAAATTGACTGATTTTAGACATTCACAGTTACAATTGTAAGTTCCTGTCAGCATGAACACATGCATCTTTCTCCCATAAACAATGAGAAGTAACAGGTGACTAAGAATCTGATCATAATACTGGATTTTTTTAGAGACACCATTGCAGGTATAATCCATGCAAAGTTTATCTTCATTTGGTATGAAGATGATCACAGGATGGGTGTATTTGATGATGAAAAGTCAAAAATAAAAATACAACATGACAATGTCATTTGGCACACCATGTACATATTGAGTATGAAATTTCATGACATATGCCAAAAATGGCGGAGTAAAGGTGAAAAAAAAAGCACACGGCTAGATACATTTGTAGCTCAAGTTTCTTTGAATATAATATCACATCAAATCTCTGGACAAAATATAGATATCTTCACTAGTGAGGTGATGTAAGTAAAGATTGAGCTTCATTGGGTCAAGTTGTTTCTGAGGTTATGGTGTTTGGTTGGTTGGTTGGTTTACGTCGCACTCAGCAATATTCCAGCTTTATGTCAGCGATCTGTAAATAATTAAGTCTGGACCAGACAATCCAGTGATTGATATCATAAGCATCGATCCCTGCAACTGGGATTGAAGGGTGGCGTTTGGAGTGCAAGGTATTGCCTTTGAGAGAATTTAGGAGCATGGTCAAAGTGTAAGGGTCACAAAAGGTCAAAATTAAAATACTGCTAAAAGTGAGTGAGTTGGGTTTAACGCTGCTTTTAACAGTATTCCAGTTATATCACGGCGTGTCAGCTTTATGTTGGAGGAAAGCCCGAAGTGATGCAGGTCTCAGACGTTTAACACTTCGCGAATTGCAACCCACGAGCACGGGTATGGTGCTGACAAACCTAGAAACATAATTGGGGCGAACCGGGATTCGAACCCACAATCATAGGTTTCTGGCGTGCCCAAGGGACTCAACTCTGCACAGCGAATCGCGGCGCCTTAGACGACTGGGCCAGCCGTGCCCCCTACTGCTAAAAGAGAAATACACTTGTAACAAATGTACCATAATTCCATACATTTTGAACAAATATTGCTGAATAACGGTCATAAATAGTTTCTTCTTAATATCGCAGCTGTAGCATTGTCAAATTGAAAACCAATTTCTAAGCTATTGAACAATTTCAGTTATCATTGGTAGGGACAAGCATATGAAGCAAGTGGTGTCTGGGGAGATGTTTACAAGCAGGCTATCACATAAGCTCACTTGACTTTCTCTCATGTAAGTCAAACCAGGAGGCAAATGGGTAATTAATAAGTTCTTGTCCTCATTGAACATATAATAGAAAAAAATAGTCCAGTCAAACGCTCAAGATATTGTGCTTACACAAACCCTTTGGGACATCTTCCCACCAAGTGATCGTGACTTTACTTTTTCCATACCATCCAGCCAATACTTCCTAATTTCATTTCCTTCAAAGTAACCTTGACATTTGACATAATTGAATCTACCATAAATGATTGCAAAACTTTTTTCTTTTTCTTCAGCTATATGATCGCGGCCTGTAAATAATGCGTGGACAATCCATTGATTGATATTGTGAACAACGATCCAAACCAACAGGGTACGATGACACACTATCAACAAGTCACCGAGTCTGACTTCTCAATCCATTCGATCACCTATTACAACCAGCATAGGATAGGGGACCTATGCTAACCCTGAATCCCCACAGGGATAAACAGATTTTTTATGAATTAATTTGAAATTTCAAAACATTTGAACTAAATTTCATTATTTGACCTCTAGTGACCCAAGCCAATTAACAAAAATACATGTGTCAAAAGAATGCAACTGCATAAGCTAATATGATTGGAAAACATTTCATACATTTGTAACAGTACCTGTAATGTCTGCCTGTTCTGACTGGGGTGACAATTCTGGCGTGGACGGTGATTCCACTGAGATGGTCACATTGGTGGTCTGGGACACAACTGTAGTGCTGGCATTCACAACAGTCTCATTATTCTCTGTGCTGTGGATGATAAAAAGGGAGATGCGACCATCAATTAGCTTTTAACATTCAACACTGTTGACAATAACACAATCACAACAAAACATGTGCATGTCTTTTAAAATGTTCTCTGAATCTACTCACTGACTAACACACATGGACTCTATACACCAAAAATCGAACAATATTATCATTGTATACAATTCTAAGAATAATACCTCTATTACATCATAGCCACTTTCTGAGAAAAGAGGGACTAGAGCTAGTGAGTGAGTGAGTGAGTGAGTGCCATGGCCCCCCTAGACTTTTCATAGAAAACAGTTTTATTTGAATCAAGTTGGGGACAAGTGATACTTGTACAAAAATTTGAGAACTCCATTGACAGCTTGACAAGACTACAGATATGGAGTTCCAAGTAGCTAATCTTGTTGCCAAGGCCCAAACATCGTGGGCTCTGCAGTTACAATCTATAATGAATGAGTGTGTATGGTTTTACGCCACTTTTAGCAATATTCTAGCAATATCCCGGTGGGGGACACCAGAAAGGAGCTGTACACATTATATCCTTGTGGGGGTTCAAACCTTGGTTACAAAGTATAGGAGGAGATAGTTGGTCTTGCCGATAACTGTCCGTCTAGCATTTTGAGCCACCCTGATACAGTTGCCATTGTGATGTCCTTGACACATGTTGACTTGTTGGATAAGAACAAGTGTTTCTGTCAACGGCTTTGTTCAATGCCAGTAAACTCCCAAGCACTTCCTTACGCAGCTATTGGGGATGAACTCTTGAAGGGCAAAAATATCGAGCTCCAATCTTCAGCATGAGTTAGGAAGAAAAGTCTAAGTCTGACCATTCCCTTTGGACTGTAGCACCATCCATGTAAACACCCCAACCTTCGCCTGAGGCGTCCGTGTATGGTGATGTTCTGGAGAGGGGTGCTTTCCTGTTTCGTCTAATTCATCAACATAGTATAGTGCACAGCTGAAACCGTCCTCTGCATGCAAAGTCTTGGAGAGATTAAGTGTCCCTAGGCATGACACCCACCAATGACGAGATCTGTTAGGCAAGGATACCCCTGTGAAGCTGGAATCCGGCCCTGATGTAGACTTTTTCTTGAACTGGCTTTAACACTGACTTGGAGGAATGAACTTGGAATCTCCAATAGAATAATAACTGTATCCAAAAACCTGTGTTATGCTGTTTCTTGCATTCAACTCCACCGTCCACCAATGGAGATGTGGCTTTAGGTGGTCTGGGAGGAGGCTGACTGGTCCTGGTGCCTGATGTAAGAAGCGAGGAACGCTTGGATGGGGCGGAGCTGAAGCTGTCTTCTGGATGTCAGGTCCCGTGCTGACTTGAGCACCTGCCACTGATGAGTGTAGGGTTGTTGTAGAGCAGGGAATAGATGGTGTGGGATTCGAGTTCGGCCAACGTACCAACAACGGCATGACTTATCAGGTGGTCAAGTCGGTTTGGCTCTTGAGGTGGAGGCCATGACCTAAAAGGGCTTAATAGAGTGCAGATTTCAGTCTTGATAAAGGCCAGACAATTGTCAGGGACACGAATAGCTGTAGAGTGGTTAGAGCCGGTCATTTGGTGGAGGTCATCATCGAGGATGCGAGCCGTGTCCGCAATGTCCAAGCGTGGACAGGAAATCCTCCTTCCTATATTTAGGAGCTTTGAAGGCCGGTGTCAAGAGAGTTTGGCCAAGTCCTCATCCAAGGCCGTGATCATGGGGTCAGGGGGTCGAATGTGGGATGAGATCATACAACATCAAATCTATTTACGTCAGAGCCAGGGGAATGTGCCACTGCCGGCAGATGGTCTGCCAAACAATCTGCAACGTGGTTGAGGCTAAGGTGAGAGTCTCTATCAGCGATGGAGCCCTTCTAAGATCGGTTGAGGAGCCCTTCTAAGATGGGTTGAGGAGTCCTCTGAGGAGTCCCGAATTGTACTCTCGACGACGTCAGATTGGAGAATGACTGCGAGATCGATACCTAGACTGGGAAGATCGACTTCCATTATGCCTAGGAGTGGACAAGCCGAGGAAAGACAAAGGGGGTGTGATATGGGCACCACCAGTCCACTGGAGGAGCTGTGACCAGAGATGCCGAGTGTATCTATCATAGGTTGTTGAAACATATACTGCATGACGCTTTGGAACCAAGCCGCGTCCTTGTAGGGCATCGGGGGCAGCTGGAGAAGTGATGAGTACTGTCCGAATCCCGGAGACGGCTGAAGCGTCGGCATCACTAGCGCCATGGAGAACATGTTGAGAGGAACTTAAGTTAGTGAGCACCAATCAGGGTGTCGCTGTAGATGAGGACGTGTAATTCAACGAAGAAAGCGTAGATGACGGTGCCAGTGAGGAATCAAGAGTGACAGGATGAGATCGAGTCGGAGGGGAGAGATAGTATGTCTTTGCCGAAGATACAGGCGGGATAGCAAAAGGCACCAGTTCAGTATGTGTCTGGTAAACATGCAAAGTTTTGTTAGAAAGTATTTAACGTTTTCTGAGTTCTGCTCCGGAAACGAACTCTACCCTATAGAACCTAAGTCCAACTTGTTGCCATGCAAATATAAAAAATAAAAATTTATAAAATTCCTAAATAGCAAAAGGCACCAGTTCTGTATCTGCCTGGTAGATATGCAAAGTTTCGTAGAGAAATATTTAACGTTTTTTTAGTTATGCTCTGGAAACGATTTCGGGATGCACGCACACACACACACAGACAGACAGATGGAACCCATTTCAATATCCCGTGCCAACTTCCATCATTGAAGATTTAATCAAGGAGATACCATTGCTGAACTTGACAAAAACATATCTGTTCGGTGGGTGCCAAAGTTTCTAAATTCTCATCTTAAAAGACCGAACTGACATTGGCAGAGAAAATTTATAGCTTATTGAGGAGGATTTTGTCAAATTCAAAAAGAGATTAGTAATGGGTGATGAAACATTCCACTTCACTCGCAAAAGAAATTCAAGTCTTCAAGATCTGTGAAGAAATTCTGGGATGCAAAGGGTGTGATCCTTGTTTATTACTTAGAAAGTCAAAAGACGAATACTGGTGTCTACTATGCTGATTTGCTTCATCGCCTGTGAGATGCTTTCAAAGAAAAGTGGCAAGGAATGCTGACTGCTGGAGTTCTACTACTTAATGACAATGCCTCCTCTCACACCTCTTGACTTGCAATGGCTGCTGTGCAACAACAAAGACCTCAAAGCTGCCGTGAATGGGTTTTTCAAGGTGGCTTCAGAAAACTTCTTCCTCAATGGAATTAAAAAGCTTCACTATCGATATGAGAAGTATATTGAAAGGCAGGGAGATTATGTTGAAAAGTAAAACTAAAAACACTTTCACAATTGAACTTTTTTACCTGCCCTCATATTTTCATTTATGGAAAATAAATTATAAATGTTATGTGAAATTGTTCTGAATTAAAAATTATGCAATAAATTATAAGCAAAGCACATTAAAATATCCCAAAATGGAAATTATTCTGGAGTATTTTATTAGTACATGTTACAAGTAGTTGCACCTATCTGATAACATTCAGGTAAATATTAATCATAACCTTAACAACATGTCCTGGAGGTTCAGGAGGTAGTGGTCTATATATGCCTCGAACTGGACACCCCTCATGTGGAGGAATGATGCTCATGGCTTGGTAATGCGTGTACATAGCCAAGGGGCCAAGGAAATTCTAAACGGAAGGACCGCCCATTGATAGTGGAATCCCATGAAGATGAAATGGAGGGATTTCCTGTCGTCCTGGATGTCTAGGGTGATGAGGCAATTGTGAGCCTGTATCCTGGACCAGAGGAGCCTGAGCGTGGTCACCCTGAAGTATGGTGGACGAGCCAGGTAGTGCTTGTTGAAGGTGGCGAGATTGTGAATCATTCAGTGTTATGGCTGGGGAGTGTACAATCTCTATAGCCTCCATGGGCGGATACAGCTTTTTTTAAAAGGGGGGGGGGCATAATTAAGATCTATTTATTGTCTTTGGTGGTAATTTATACAGAAATAAAGATTTTTTTCGAAATAAAAAGGGGGGGTGCGCACCAGCACCGTCAGATGCAGACGGTAAGCTTTGAAAGTATTGTACTTAATATATGTTAATAGTTTAAAATACATCCGTCTTAGCTATACTCAGACCTTTTCAGACACTTTGTATACTTTGAGAATTGTGATCTTCATTGTCGTTTTTAAGCTGAAAATGATAAATATAACACTCATCGATTTATGAGACTGTAAACTTTTGGTTGGTCAAAGCTCTCCTGGCTTGATTATAGTATGTCTGCTAGCATTATGACATGGGATTTATCTGTTTGAATACTGTAAATCATGAAATTAATGCATCTCCAAAAGAATGTGACTGCTGTCCGATAGCCATAAATGCAACTCAATATGAATGCAACACCCCCCTCCTCTCAAGCATCAGTGGATTTACATCTAAAGAAAATTCGTTCGTTCATTCGGAGATTTAACGTGCGCTTTCCGCGTGTAATAAATTACACTTTAGCGTATCTCGCACACGGGGAAGCACTTATACTATTGGGGAAAAAAAGCGTAATGAATAAATAAAGAAGTGCGACCCAAAAAAATGTAAATGAGGGAAACCTAAAATGATAATCTAGGGGGTGGGTTTTGGCTGGGAGGGAGGGGGTGATAGGAGAAGAATAATAATATGGAAAAAAATTGGGCTTGGGTGGGGGGGGGGGGGGGGGAGAGAGGGGAGAGGGGGTCTGGCTTGGGAAGGCACGGCGTCGGCTGGTGAGCTGGTGTGGTGGTGGAAGCTGGAGCTTACTGTTTCTCCCCAGGCTGGAGGGAGAGCTTGGAACAGTGCGGTGGTGAGACGGGCAGCAGCGTTGGTGATGAAGATGGGGCTGACTTGACTTGACCAAGAAATCGAAGAGATCCTGGTAGCTGTGGATTTCATGTTCAAATCTCTCTTCTCCCCAGTACTGCACCAGCACCATGGGTGGGCGTGGGCGGTTGCTGGGGTATACCTTGCCGCTCTCATGCTGGTAGCATGGGTTAGGGTGGACCTTGTGCTGCTCCAGGATGAGGCTGGCCTTCTGGGCAAGGTCGACACGGACGTCTTCCTCAACAACTGGTTCCGGAACCTGGTCGGTTTGGACTTGGCTGGTGTTGAGGGAGGGGCCTGGTGTTACGGCGGTCTGTGTTTCCGTGATCTTGCTTGTAGGTGGTGATGGTGGGGGGGGGGGGGGGGGGGGGGGGGGGGAGTCGGGGGAGAAGATACTTTTCCTCTTTCTCTTCTTCCTTCCGTGTCCTGTCCCTACAGGCATGCGAAAGGGCTCCTCCTGCTGCTGTTGTTTGGGGCGGAGGGGTGGTGGGTAGGCTCTCCTGGATCTCCATGGCGGCGACTGGTGGAGCCTTCTTCACCTTGGGCGGCCTGGCCAGATATATTCCACTTCAGGAAGGCACATAGCTTTCTAACCTCTTCCAGAATACTGATCTCATCAATCTGTTTAGAACAGGGTGATTTCTAACAGTCAAACCATCATGTTGAATTATTGAAACTAAAGATGATCCATATTCATTAATGGATCCCTGACGAAACTCAATGTTGCTGGAGATGGAGTATTAAGTCCATGGGTAAAGTGGGGAGGGACATGTAGGTAAACATCCCCCTCCAGTTCATGGATAATGCGTCCACTTGCAGGGTTTGTGGATCAGGAACTGAACTGACATATACTGTGAGTATGCAGTTGAGGTAAGTGGCAAATATATCCTGACGAGTATCCTAAATCAACCTTATCCACACAATACCTTTGGATGGAGAGACCATTCTGTTGCCACAACCCTGTATTCCCAATGAAAGACTATCTGCCAAGATGTTGAATTTCCTGGGAATATGAACAAGCTTCTACCAAAACGTGCAATACAAAACTCAAAATAATATTGAGATCTTGTTGCTAACGTACACAGGAAAGGTGTGTGCCTTCTTGATAGTTGAAAAGTGTAGACATAAAACTTCTAACATTTTGATAGTAGCAATATAATGATACAGGAGTGTACACAGGAATCTCACTTTAGGATTTACAAATAATTAAAAAACTTAAATTTTTGGCGATAATACAACAGATACTGACATCGATAAATAATGAACTTTCAATGAAAAATAAGCAAAGTTTGTTGACAGATGAGGCTTCGAATTTTCGTACCAATACATTAGCCCATCATGCAGGGGTAAAGATCATCAGACTGTTCTAAATGCTAGATGTATACAGGCAGATTTTATTTTACGTCTTTATTTAAATATAATTGTGAGACCCCTGGTGTCATCAAATGTCCCTAGTTCTTAGAAAGGTAGGAATCATTTGGCCCAATTTTTCCAGTCAATGAAATGAACATTGCCATTAATATACTGAATAACAAAAGTTCCTGTGACATTGAATAAGATTTAATGCAAAGTTATGTTTTTTACCAAATTTGAAACAATTTCGGTTTGCAACAGATAAAAGACTCATGTAAGTGTTTAAATGGTTTAATTTGCCATACTGACTTCAGAAAATGCGTGATTTCATAAAAAAAAACATGAACATGCCAAAATGTCAATTTACAAATCAATAGCGTGTGTCCACCTCTGGTTGCGATGCAAGCAACACATCTTCGTCTCATGGAATGGACCTGGCGTCGCACAAAGTCCTGTGGGATATCTGTCTATATCTGCTGGAGCATGTTTCGAAGTTCCTGGAGTGTCTGTGGAACGTCGAAGGCGCCGATCCATCTCATCCCACATGTGCTCGATTTATGAGAGATCAGGGGAGCGAGCCGGCCAGGGGATGACATTCATGTTGTTTTGTTGAAGAGAATCACGAACAAGTCGAGCAATATGAGGCTGGGCGTTGTCATGTTGAAAGGTAATGAGTGAGTGAGTGAGTATGGTTTTACGCCACTTTTAGCAATATATCACGGCTTGGGACACCAGAAATGGGCTTCACACATTGTACCCATGTTGGGAATCGAATCCGGGTCTTCGGCGTGACGAGTGAATGCCTTAACCACTAGGCTACCCGACCACCCCTGAAAGATAATGACGACGCAAAAACGGTAGAACAACAGGGCCAATGATCTTGTCGCGGTAGCGCTGTCCATTGAGATTTCCCTCTACCACTATCAAACGGGTCCTCTGTCTTGCTGTAATCCAACCCCATACCATAATGCTGCCGCCCCCGAACCGATCTTCTTCCATGACACAATGATTGACGTAACGTTCACCTCGACGTCGGTACACTCAAATCCGTATATCACTGTGGCCGAGGTGAAAACGAGACTCGTCAGTGAATAGAACTTGTCCCCACTGCATGGCCGTCCAGCGTAGACGCTGCCTGCACCACTGTAGACATGCTTGACGGTGGTTTCCTGTCAAAATGGGACGTCTGGCGCGTCTTCTGGCGACAATCGCTGCACATCTGTGGCGACGACGTACGGTTTGTGAAGATATTCATCGAAGGCCAGGGATGCTTCTTGCAGTCACTGTTGCTGGCTGGAATCGATTTTGTAGGTGTGTTGTTCGAATCCAGTTGTCTTGATGATTATTGGTTACGCTTGGCCTGCCACTCCGAGTATGGTCTCTGACTGCATTCGTCTGTTGCCAACGTTGCCATAAACACCAAATGGTGTTTCTGTGGATGTTCAATTGTCTTGCAACATCACGTTGACTCGATCTTGCTTCAAGCATACCAATGGCTTGCAGACCCTCATTTTCGGACAGGCATGGCATTTTGTAATGTTGAATAATTGCGTAATTTTGTTGTTTTTCTGAGTGGTTGTTGTCAGCACGATGCTAAACAATGCATATGGAATCCCGTTAATGCACATGTTTTTATACCCATTCTTGGGTAGTAAAATGCATGGGGCTTGCATAAAAGTCAACTTTTGCATGGAATGCATGCTTTTCTGTAGCAGTTGTGTTTTTTGTCACTTGATTCCATGCATGTACTACAATATTGAAAACCAAACTTTACTTGTCTGAAAAATACACCAAAATATTGGTGTCACAGGAACTTTTGTTGTTGAGTATATATTTCTGAGTGTCTACAAGATTTTTATAAAATAGCTACTTTCACACATTCCTGCCCTTCAAAATCTAAAATATAGAAAGGTTAGCTTTTACTCTTGAAATACCCGTTATGTTAGTTGCTTGTTCTGGCAAAATTTTCCTCTAACCTTCTAAAATCTGGCCCAGTTGGATGTTATATAATTTATTCTGCACATGAATACTACAGATACCCAAATACAAATTGAATTTGGTCAAAATATATAAGTCAAAGGTATTTGCCCTGAAACAAGACTCAGTTGAGTAAGTCAATGCATGTGACAGATCAGTTCAATCAATAATTTTTAGTATACATTTATCAGAGGTGAACCATGTAAGTATATAAATATACAGATGCACAGACTTTGGATAATGCATGATCATATAAACTCTACTGCTGGTCAATGACTTGATAAACACAGATTTGTTGAAGATGTGAAGAGATGCAATAATTTAAAGTGGGCAATACATGCTTCTAGTGAACCCAATTGTTTGGACAGTTTGTTTGCCTTTGTGAAACATACACAGATGGCAATGTGCACACGACTGTTACAGGTGACAGCACCCCTCTCAACCCTAAACATTTGACTGAGCGATTCACTTATATTGACTTGGGCCTCTATAACAAGTAGTGAGCTCAAAATATGTTTGCATTGGCTACATAAAATAGTAGTGAGGTAGAAATGAAGACAATATTGACAGTTTATTTGACTTACACTATCTCTCTAACACTATCAACAGTGATATCCCCAGGGGAGTCTGGCCTACCACTGTCAGTGAGAGCTTGTGTGATGTCATTTGTTTCATACTCCGGGCTCTCTTCTGTTCCATCTTCCCTGCAAAGATACCCATATTTTACCTCATCCATAATACACAACACCAAACATCCTTTTACATTATGTGATCAACTGGGTCTATGTGTTAGAGCTATCAATGTGATCTTAGAGTAGAAGATAAGAGTTTTAGTTGAAATACCAGGTAAACAATCTTAAATTTAGACTAAAGATGTTTACAAAGAGTCACAAAAATATAAAACAGCAGCACCTTCAATGACATCTACATAGAAACCCTACTCCACAACACATCACAATTCACTTACAGTATGCTAACGTTACCTCCAGTTTTCGGGGAAGTCAAATATTTGCCAACTACAGAACAAGTGCAAACTTCTAAAAGTACCCTATTTTCTCAAGTGTATAGTGTGCACCCCCTCTAGAGGATTCAGTGTTGGGGGAGAAGGAGAAAGATGTTTTGGAGTATATGCACAGCAAAAACAGCATCATATTCCTTTCTGGTGATTACAAACTTGGGCAATAAAAATTTGAGACAAAACATCACTAGATATGAGGATTTACCACACAAATTGTATTTCCTGTTCAACCAGGCACTGTTTTATATGCGCAGATTAAGATTACTTTTTGTATTTTCTGACATTGTATTTCTGGTGTTATGTTCTCACAGTAATGTCTTTGCACTGGGAAAAAACATTATGGTGTTAATTATGCGCAACCCCCTCTACACAGCTGTGTTTTATGGGGGAGAAAAAGTGTGGACAACACTTAAGAAAATATGGTACAATGCATGCAGTCAGCATAATCAATAAGGACCCCATTGCAATTACTTCTGGAAAGGAAAATCAAATGCCTAATGCAGTATAACTCAAACTCAGATAGGTTCCATGCCTCTTAAATTAGAAAGTACAATGTCATATGCACTGTGTCTGATGATGTAATTTCTAATTTGAAAAAGAATTAGATATTTTTTCAGCTACAGATGCAAATCCAGGTATATATTTTTTTGTTATAACTATGAGCCTAAATAAATTAAAACATTTAAACCCCTTGCAACAATGTAATTTTTGTGGCAGATAATTTCTTTTTCAAGAGTGAAGAGGCAGAATTACTTTTTTTCAAGCATTTCCTGGGACAAATTTTTTTTAATCAATAAAATCCCAGTCCCCCCTCCACAGTATCATCAAATGGTCCGTCCCATACACGCACTTTAGGTCTGATGATGTCACTTCTAGTTCAGGAATACATCAACTTCATGCGTGAATCATAAAACATAGCAGTACTGGCATAACATCATCAGGAATAAGAAAACCTCGATGTTTCTAAATCACATGACCCCTGAATGCAAGGGCTGACCGATAAGTTCTGAGCCTTGCACAGAAAAAAGTGGAACTAAATTCATTAAAGTGTTATATTTTTCAACATAATCCCCTTCCACATTGTTACACTTTTAGGAGGGTGCTGAAGGAGTTAAAAGCCACACTCTTGGATTGTAACCATAGCAATAACCCAATTTGTGCACGGGCACATTGTCCTGATGGCCATTCCCAATGGGCGATCTTTTTCAATTTATCTTCCCTTCACTAACCCGAAAGGTGCGCTGATCCGGACGGTCCAACCTTAAACTGACAGCGCATGTGGTATGCGCGATACGAGCACTACATGTTACTATGACGCCTATAGACAGTTAACTAGAATAACCTTCACCTCTATCGGCAACAGTCACGCTTTTCGCCTAAACAATGATTTATCTATTGTCATGCCTGGAAATAAATGTTCCTTGATTTAATGATACACCAGGGATGACCACGACTGATTATATTGTATAGTTAACCACTATATAGGCGTTCGAAGCGATGCGGTGAGATCAGCTGATCGTTCATTCCAGGTCGCTTTGTTGACGTTTTGCAATCGTTACTGAAAGTGTTGCCCTTGATGTATGAATATCACACTTTTAAAAATTAAGTAGATTTTGTATACGTTCCTATATCTGTGTTGTGGTATCGCCGAACAGCCTACATCATATATATGCATGCATTTCAGTTTGTACAGCGGTACGCGAAATGTAAAGGTCTTATGCAACGTAAAGTGTTGTGAATATTGACAGCAACACATGTAAGTATTTGTCAGATATATAACTGAGAGCAATGAGAAATGTTCTCAAGAAATTGTAAGAGAAACAGGCACTGTAAAATTATGTCATCAACTCGATATCAAAATACAATGTTCAAAATAAAAGAAATGTAAATCACTGAAATCTTTTTTGATATTTAATTTATGTATGTTGTTTAAAATGATTTTATGTATGAATGGTGGTTGTTTGTTGTCAGGTACTACCATGATTTTATTTCAATATGATCAATGAAAGATATATATTATTTTGGCCTTTTTTAAATTTAACAAAGTAGAAAAAAAATAATTTTCAGACACAAAGGACCCTATATATTAGTTAAAATACATATTCAAGAGTATTTGTACCAACTACAATTTTTATAAAATAAAACAATATATTCATACTAATTTTCAATCTCTATAATGTTGATTGTATTAATATTGCAGCGTCTACATCCAGTTTGCATTGACAATAATCATATGATTGTAACACAGATACAGCTCATTCTTAACTTCATTAGGCCTTGCTATTTATGTTCCCTTGTTCTAAACTGATGTTTCAAATTCCCACATTAACAAATTATTAATGTTTTTCTTTTTTCTCTTCACACCAACAGATATCTGCATTGCACAATGACTCTTATTATTTTATTTAATATCTTGGCATACTTGTGCATGTGTACTAGTATTTGATTACACGTGCATGACTTTTTAGCAGTCATCTGTTTCTGAAATGAATATTATGCCAATAAAGATAAGTAACATAAAATAAGGACTCTGGTATTCTTTCATGTTTGGAGAATCAATCAATTTCATTGTGAAAACATTTTTAATTTCTTACATAAGTTACTTTGATCTTCATAAGATCAAAATACATGTAGATCCAAATTAAATTGAGAAGATTAAATTATGCAGTCTAATTTATTTCAGTCAGTCTGTCTAAAATCCAGTCCTATTTTTCAGGCAATAATAAATGAATGAAAATGTAAGAAAAAATAAACCTTGCCTGAGTGAATCAGTCAATATACATATTGGGCCTGATTATAGACACTGACTGTAACATATGTAAGTGTAATCTGTTATATGCAAAAACAAATAACATAAATAAATACATTTATCTACATGGAATGATTGTGGGATTCAATTTGCATTTATTAAACTATCAGAAGGTTTGATGATAAACTTTCTAAATTCATATTGCTATATGATAATAATATCTACAACATATACTTTTACTACAGGTGTCTTGAAGTACTGTTGAATTAAAAAAAAAGGATACATAGCTTCAGCAGGATAGTGTGTGGGTTTGTATTGGAAACATTTGTCAACATTAAAACAAATATAATGTTACTAAAACAAGAAGATATAAGTATGATTTACATCTATTTATGTATCATACACATTTTGTGGGGTAGTCAGTATGATTTGTTGTTTTTTGGGACAAATCTCTGTAATTTACAACTATTTTAAGAGCATGAGTATCAGAATTCTGTAAGAAATGATGGATCAATGAATTAATTACCGTAACACCTATGATGACTCAGCGCACATAATGGTGGGACACATGTTATAAGGGGCAGAATAATATGGGTAAATCTCTTATTTCAAATCATGATGACTAGTATGTATATTGCAACTGAGTAACTGAGTGCTTAATAGATGCATGGTAGATTTTCATTTGGCATATTTCTAAAAAATAATACACATTTAAATATTCAGATGCAACTTTAATTTTGATATAAAAAGTAACATTTAAAATCTTTTGTTTTATTATTTTGAATGTTATTTCTTCTTAAAATATTTGTAAAGGCACGGATGTATACCTACTTTATAGATCATTGGTAAAGGTCTGGGCCTGTCAAAGATGTCTGTGTGCTGCAAATGTAGGCGTATCTCTAATTTTATTAAAATGAAGTCCATGGTGGTATATGTTGAGATTTGAATGCTTTGAATTGTGGTGGGGAAAAACACAAAGGCTGATAAATAAAATGAGTCTGCATTATTTCATCGATGCAATATGTTAGCCCAGACTGACAGAATGCATCGCTGTTTTCTGATGTAGATATTACCGTGGTAATATACTGTTTTTCATGACGTTTCTCCCGCTATCTTCCATAGTGACAATTCGTCTTGTAGTTGCAAGACTCAACAAATGTTGATATTATAAACTAATAATCACTACAAAATATCTGCTAGTTAAAAAAATTCAGTTGTAAACGACCGTTTTTGAACGAAGGTGCCACAGGGTAACTCTTCAGCTTGGCTCTGTCTCTACATGTCACTAGTTGTCGCAGCGCGCATTGATCCGGGAACCAGACCGGAAGCGACAGGTTGGACCGTCGCTTATATCATTTCAAAAGGAGAGTTATTGCCCTTTGGAACAAAAAGATCGCCCATTTGCATATGCATGTTAATGCACGGCCCATAATTTGGAATGTCTGTGTGTTTGTTGGGAGCATGATACTCACACACATGGCTTTTTAATGACTTGTTTGTTGCATGTCATCATATCCCAATTGTGTAGATTCATGCTCATGATGTCAATTGTCTGGTCCAGAATCGATTATTTACACACCGCCATCATCTAGCTAGAATATTGCTAAGTGCAGTGTTAAACAACAAACAAAATCTCCCCTCCCCCCATTAGTATATATATAATTTAGTCAAATTCCAACTACAAAGGCTAAAGATATTGTGCATACAAACTTTTTTCGGGATGTCTACTTCGTACCTTGTCCTTCAATGTCATCTAATATCATGCAGAAATATTAGGTTTACAAATACAATGAAATCTCCACAGCATACTAACACAAACTTAATGAAACTACTTACCAAACATTGAGTGAATGACCTTTAAAGTGACCATGACAATTGACATAAGACAATACTGGTATAAAGTTATAAATTTTAACATAGGTGAAATTGCTTGGATT